GGAAAGCCTCTTGAGTTTGTGTTGTTTAAAAAAAAAAAACACATCAATTTTAATCCCATCTGCAGAGGTTAGAATAATTGTGTCAAATTCAACTTTGTGAAATGAACAGTTTCTTGCTTTTCTTTTTTCTTTCTGTTATCTGGCCTGCTTCTCCTGGAAGGCTGTGCAATGCACATTTATGATGCGAGGTCAGATTTTTGGGTTGCTGATTGCAAATCTTGTGTTTTTAATCATTTATTTGATAAATTTTTAAACCTTTTCCATCAGCTGTAATGGCTGATTGGGTGACTGTGTTCAGACCATATTGCAGAACATGTTGGTGCATAAATGAGATGGAACATAGCACAAATATGACTTCATGCACATGACTTTTTTTATTTTTATGACTATTCGAAGCTGTAATCATAAGCACGATTAAAATTCAGCTCATGCAGCGCTTTACATGGACAAACTGTCCACAGCGTTGGAATGGGAACTGACCAGGTCAATAGAACTGTTCTCTGCGAAACAGAAATGGATGGCTGGTTCTTGGTTGAAATAAGAAACCGTCCGAAGCGGTTTTAGCTTCATAAAGTTTCAAACGCTTGAAAACCAGGTAGAAAGGCACTAAAACCTGCATGATTAGACTTTTGTAAGCCCACTCACTGCTTTAGGTCCCGTTTGTTTATCTGTATGGGCTCCCAGGACCATTAAACACCACGGAGGTTTCATTTAAAAGAGATATACATTACATTCGGATGACAATAAATGTCCCAAGTATCTCTAGTTCTCAATAATTTTATCCTTTTTACCTAGAACTCTGCTGGTGCTGTGCTCCTTTACTCTGCGTTCAGATCAGGGATGTTGGAAAGGCTTTGAGGTGGTGGAACAAGTCACCATGAAGAAGAGACCCCAGAGCAGTCTTATCTGAAACATTTGACAAGATAGCAGGCTGTCAGTGAAGACCTGCAGCTGCCCAAACTCACAAGGAAGAGCAGCCGTGGTCAGAGCTACAGAGGAGAACGTGTGTGATGTCTGTTAGAAATGTAAAGGTGGTAACGAAATAGGGGCCGTTGGCTTCAAATCTGGGGGCAGTTTGAGGCGA